GGTTATTTTTAATGAACCACACAAAAAAAAAAATTACCAGAAAAACATCCTGCAAAACAAGCAGCGTCTGGCAGACTAGTCATTTTGTACAGCTCTGAAACTAGAGCTCTCTGGGAGGAATCTGTTGTGGACGTTTCAAAATTGATGTTATTAAATAAATGAGCAGCATTTCTTCTTATAGAAGAAACGTTGGAAGGGAAAAAAAAAAAAAAGAGGACATAGTCTCAGGTGCTAGATGAATATTTGAGGTTTGAAAAACGAGAAGATTTTAGTTTACTGCCAAAACCTACTCACTTGGTAGGAGATGCCAGGTTCGACTTAATTTTATAATCCTTTTATAAACATTTTCTTCCCAAAGGGAAGACCTGTTCTTTGCCTTAAAGCAGCCCTTTAACACAGGGCTTGTTCCGCTATGTTTTTATTCCGTGTATGGTTTGTCGTTTATGTACCGTGGGCCGAGACGATGCTCGAGCAGCTCGTGGTGCAGAGACCTCCATGGAGCACCAAGAGCCCTGGCATTTCGCTGCTCATCCCCAGCTCCGCAAGGGCTCCATCCCTCCGCAGGGGGGTGAAGGGCAGCGGGACGGGTCGTGGAAGCCCCACGGGAGCTGGGGCGCGTGGAGCCGCACGCGCAGGGCCTGGCACCCCACTGGAGAACAGCTGGGGCTGGGGTCCTTTCCAGCGGCACCGTGGGGGGACAGGGCGGCCGCCTCCCCTGCTGGGGGGCTCCTCGGCTGCAGGGGGTCTGGGAATGGGTCTGGGAATGAGGAGGCCCGTGGGATGTCGGGGACACGCTGGGGGGGGGGGGGGCCGGAGTGGGGGGGACACGCAGTCCACCTGGGCAGGGGAGCGGGCTGCAGGCCACGCCCCCTTACGACAGCGGGGGGCGTGGCCAACCTGCACCACACCCTGACGACGAAGGGCGTGGCCTCGAGTGTGGGGGTGTGGCCCCGATGAGTGGGCGTGGTCACGCTGGAGGGGGCGTGGCCCCACGCGCCTCCGGAGGGGGCGTGGCCCCCCTCCCCCCTCTCTCCCCCCCCAGCGGGGGCAGCGCGGGAGCGGGCGCCGATGCGGGGGAGGGGAGAGGCGCCGCGCCCCCCCGCCCCGCTCCATCCCCCGCGGCCGGGGCCTTTTCTACCTGCGCCACACGGCGCCCGCCTGCGCGCGCGCTCCCACCTCTCCCCGCCGGCGAGGCGAGGCGGCCGGCGGCGGGAGCACCTACCCGAAGCCATGGCGGCGGCCTCCGGTGGCGGGCACGGCGCTGGAGACGGGCAGGGAGCGAGCGCCGCGCCGGCCGCGCGCACACTGAGGCACCCGCAGCTCGCGCGGACTGCGGGGCCCCGCAGCCAATCGGCGGGCGCGGCGCCTACCACCCGCGCGCCGGCGGCGGGGGGGGCAGCGGGGTGAGGGTCGTACCAAGTGGCTGCGGCCGGAGGGGGGCGCGGCGGCGGGCGGGACTGTACCAAGGCGCGCGGCCGGGAGGGGGCGCCGCGCCGAGGGGGCTGTGCCATTGTTAGGGGGGAGGGGGAGGGAACATGGCGTGGGTCCCTGAGCCCCTCGTGGGGACCGCCTCGTGGGGACCGCGTTGGCTCCCGCTTTCCATCCCGGGGGCATTAATGGCCCTTAGAGTGCTGTCCCTCACTGGGACACACAACTAAGCACGTGTGTGCCCGGAGAAGGGTCTGGGAACCACAGCGTTCCACAGCTTGTGGAAGATGGAGTCCAACTTCGTAAATCCCCAGGATGTATTTGGGAACTGTGCTGTGAAAATACACAGTTTGGGGTCTGTGAAAATACACAGTTTGGGGTCTGTGAAAATACAGAGCAAACTCTTCTGCTAGGTCTACACCGCAAGGAAGGAGTGTTCTGCTTTATAAACCTAGCACTTGATTCCTCTCTGTCCTTTTTGTGCCTGGTTATTCTGGCACAAAACTCTCCGGTTCAGACAAGGTTTTGCTGAGGCTTCTCTTGCTGGGGGTGTCAGACTTATTTCAGCTCTTCCGAGCGTCCAAAACCTGCTACGGGTGCAGCCAGTCTGCCACAAATCCTGGGAGACGAATCAAGGGCCTCTGGGTCACTCTGCACGCCTCTCATGCCTGGGGACAGAAGCAACCAAAATCAGGCTCTTGTTTTATAACTATAGTTTAATGTCTTTCAAATCTTTTAGGTGTCAGCTGCGTCATATTCAGGCTTGAGTCATTTCAGAACTGCTGATGGGATTTCCAAGGAGAATTTCTCAGCCTGTCAGGCTTCATAGAACATGGCAAAATCAGCGCTGTGCTTCGTGTTACAGCCAGCCAGGAAGGGAGATGAGAGAGACTGATTAAGGCTGAATTACAGAAAATGCCCCAAATCTGTGTCTTGATCCTGTGTGCTAGATTACGTTCACGGTAACAGCTAATGTAACGTCACTACTGCTGTCACCTTGCCCCCCTCGGCCTGGTCTTCCAGGGAGGAGCGTGTCAGTGTTTAAAAGACTGGCTAAGATTTGATTTAGCTTGGGGATAGTGACATTCCTCGCTGGTGGATCAGCAGCAGATAATGAGTTTCTAAACCCCTGCAGGCAGAGCAAAGGGCGCGAGGGGATCCGTGCCGCTTTGCTGATGCACATTCCTGAGACCTGGAGCAGGAGGGAGACTTCAGACCAGCCTTTTGGTGTGTTTGAAGGCTGGTGATGGGGTTCTGTAAGATAAAACTAAAGAAAATCCATCATGGTCAGAGTGATTCTTCAAAAAGCTGAATATTGACTTGGAAGAGAGGGAAAATGATCTTGGGAACCACAGGTAATACATTAAAATTGATGAACTGTTTCAAAGATGAAATCTAGTTACAACCAAAAAAAAAAAAATCTTTATTTAGTCTGAATGTCTCCTAAAAGTCACTTTTGCAGTTTCAGAGACAATGGCATCTTGCAAGGCTTGCAGAAGATGTTTAGGAAATTACCCTGGAGTAGAGCTGCATGCTTCCTGCCCAGCCACGGCCTGTGCATTCATCTGCACTGAAAGAGGAGCAGAGGAAATGGTGAATATTGCGAGATTGACACTTTTTTTTTTCACTTTTTCTTTTTTTCCTCTCTCCCAACAGCGAGTGAGGAGCACTCTCCCACTTCAGCTGTATGGGTTGAGCAGATCTGCAAACAAGTTGGGCTGTTTCTTTCCTCCGGGGCCTAACAGCAGGAGGCAAATCCCACGTCCGTGGCCTAAAATAAGTTACTGCTGAACAAGCAGTGACTGGAACGACTAATTAAATGGGAGCTTCACTTTCTGCCCAGACTTTCTGGGTTCTGCTCAGAGATCCTCATCTCCCCTCAAGCCAGCAGCTGCCTGTGACCATTGCACAAAGGGCCCCTGGGCTGCTGAGGGATTAGGGCCGCCCACAGACCAGGCGGCGGCAGCACAAAGGACATGGAAGGCTCTTTTGCTCGGCCCGGAGCCGCTCGGCACTCGAGGAGCTCGAAGGGCTCCCTAGGAGCGGCGGGGACGGGGCAGAGCCCCGAAGCGCGCGCGAAAAAAAAAAAAATGGCGGGCCGGGGCAATATGGCCGCCGCCTGTCGCCATAGTAACCGTAGGGCGCTGCAGCGCCTCTCATTACCGCGGCAACACGACCGGGCCTTCCGGTGCTCGCCGGAAGCGAGGTGCTCCCGCGCCTCCCGTTACCGCGGCAACGCGGCCCGGCCTTCCGGCTCGGCGGGTGGCAGCATGGCGGCGGCGGCGGCGGCGGGGCCGCGCTCGCCGCCCGC